GCAATATTTTGATGCATTGATTATATGAATATTATGATTATTCAAAGATATTTAACCTTGTCATTGTGCCTGTTTTTCTGTGCATATAATGTATGCAAAACCCATTATATTTATGTTTTCTGCTTTTTGTCATTATGATTGTTCATTGTTAAAGATACTACCATCTTTCCCTGAGCTTGTATGTAATAAGTTCTGCAGTATTAATACAAAAAGAACATAAGAGGGACAGGTGCACTAACACCTCATAGCATCAGTAACTCCACAACACTACCTAGTACTTATGTTTTCTGCTTTTTGTCATTATGATTGTTCATTGTTAAAGATACAACCATCTTTCCCTGAGCTTGTATGTAATTATAAGTTCTGCAGTATTAATAAAAAAAGAACTTAAGATCGACAGGTGCACTAACACCTCATAGCATCAGTAACTCCACAACACTACCTAGTACAGTTTTCCTCAGCGTTTGCAATGTTTGTAATATCTGCACAAAGGAGACGTCGATCAGCTGCTAGAAGATCTCGTCTTTGGAGAAGACTGTTCATTTTACACTCGAAAAATATAAGTATTACTACTTAGAAGTTAAGATGACCCCAGAATGCATTGCTAGCCCACCCCAACACTTATGAACAATAATAATGATAAATGCTGACCAATAATTAGCAAAATGTAATTTGTTTTGTCATATGCCATAGCTATGCATGACTACACACAAGACAAATGCAGCCAAGGTGAATACATCTCAATTTTCAGTCAAGTAATGAATTAATGCACAAGTTAATGAAACAATTATATTTTATTTACTGAAAACAGGAAACATGAATAAATGAGTAAAAATAAATAAAAGTAACCATGACAATAAATAAATACAAGTCATCGACACATGAAACAAAGCTTTATTCAAACATTGTTCTAACAATCATGTATTTACAGACGGTGAGCCCACATCTACTGCATCTCAACACAGCTGAGACAGTTCTGCAGCTTTATTCTGATGAAGCAGCTGACCATCGTGTCCACCTTCACCTGTCTCTGCCGTCCATCACGACCCTCACTGCTGCAGTCAGACTGAATCTGATCATGGATGAGAAAGGGGCATCGAGGCTATTGTCTGAGTACACAGAGGGGATGAGGAAGACCATGATGATGCTCCTGATCCACACAACCCTGAATAAAAGCAGGAGAACATGTGCGGGACAATCTGACTGTCTCTCTGTCTGCTCCAAACATTTGTGTGCTGCTCTCCATGAGCACGACTATCTGTAAAACATTTTACAATTAATGTTGTATTAGCTGCATTTCAATTACATGCTAATTTTTGTCATAGCTTCATTACTTTTGCAGTGTAGTGGGCTAAAGCACTGCACTGGTCAGCAGAAGATTACTGGTTCGATCTCCGCAGCCGTCACCACCGCTGTGTCCTTCAGCAAGGCTCTTTACTCCAGGTGGCTGCTGGGGGATTGGGGTCCCTGTAATAAAAGCACTGTAAGTCACTTCGGATAAAAGT